CACATACACACACACACACACACACACACACACACACACACACACACAGAAGCACACTACATAAAGAGCATAATAGAAGCTGTACCTGATGTTTACTACAGTACGTTAATATCCTATAACTATGATCAGCCACGAGGCAACCCAGGATACGGAGTACACATGCATCGCATGGCACGAGAGCAAACAGTTTTGTGTACTCTTGGCACGGCCCAGATTGTCCACTTGAACCATTGCCATTTCAAATGTTTGACTACTTGCATGGGTAAACTCTTCGGGTGTGAAATGGTGATAAAATCATTCAGGGGTAACCGTATTCACATCTACTTAAAGGGACAGTTCACCAAAAATTAATTATTTACCTTCATGCCATTCTAAACCTGTATGACTTACTTTTGCAGAACACAAAAGAGATATTTTGAACAATGTTTTCACCTATGCAATTGAAGTCTTTGATTGCACAAAGACTTTGTATGAACAAAAAAAAAAAGAAAAAAAAAGAAAACTATACTAAACCTAAAAGCAAAAAAAAAAAAGAAAAGAAAAACACAAACACACAAAAAAACTAAATCAAACTAAACAAAACCTAAAAACACAACAAAAGCTAAAAAAAAGGAAAAACAAACAACAACAAAAAACTAAACAAAACCTAAAAACACAAAACAAAAGACACATACATCTTCCAAAATATCTTTGTGTTTCATAGAATAAAGCCATTTAAGTCTAGAATGACATGAGGGTGAGTAGATGACAATGTCTAGGTGAACTCTGTCTTCAACACTTCATTAGCTTACACCTCCATGTCTCATTTTAAAAACACTAGGCTACGTACAGAGATATGAGAAAGTGCTTACTGCAGACAGAGCTGGGATATGCCAAGGTTAACCTCACTTGCAGTTGCAGAGCAGGTTTTTAGTGATAAGAATTCTGCGCAAAACTTCCTCTGTATGCGAATTTTACTGTTTACAGGGCTCACAAACACAAAACATCCACCCAAAGTGCTATTACAAATCCATAAAGACAACCAAAAACCTGCACTGGAAGTGCTCTAAGGAGGAAGATTGCCAAAAGCGACCTAGCAATCAGGGCCAGAGAGCAGGTCTGGGGAAAAGGGGTTGATAGCAGGGCTGGGTTTAGTGGGTACTAAATAGGGTCATGCAGTGGGGGCGCCAGAGAGCTCATCCAGAGACTGTGACGTAGCGGCTTCGTCCTGTCCCTCCTCAGCGCTGAGGGGTTCAGTGGCCGGGGACGGAGGGGGCGAGGGAGGTTCCTCCTTGGGGTCGGCCCGTGTCATGGCGCCTGTCCCGCAGGACAGCCGGTAAGTGGAGAGCGCCTGCTCCAGCACTTGGCGGTATTCGCCTCGGTGACTGAGCCGGAACTGTCGTAGCGCCTCCAGCAGATGGGCGGCGGCGGCAGAGCTGCCCTCTTCTTCCTCCTCACCGCCGGCTGCTCCTCCCTGGCTGTCCTGGTGCAAGACGCCAGTGTCAGTGGACAGAGCAGGTTAAGAGACCCCGCTAAGAGCAGGCCACCTGCCCTTGACCTTACACGGCCTTTTCATTTAGAAAGCAGCACGCTTGAGGAGCAATAAAATGTGGCGAATGTGTGTTCGTCTGTGTGCGCGCAAGGGTACAAAAGATGCAGGTGCTTGTCAACACACGTCTCTTCTCACAAGTCTTAGAGCAATAAACTCACTGAAGCATTACCAAGATGCGGACATACAAATACAACCCGTCACAGAGTGGCACAAGCACAGACGGACAAACAAAGCCAAGGCCTGCACAAAAAGCCTTGCATTTAAATCTTAAATGCAGAGGCATTGCTTTTAAAAATAGTGGTGTTTGGATGTTTAATCTGCCCTATATTTAAATCCATCTCTGAGTACCAGTTATGCTTCCCTAAGTAGGACATTTGCTAATCACTTGCTAAATGTATCACTCTCAAATGATCGAGGGAGTAAATGTATGCATGAATGCGTCACCTAGACCTATATTAAGTCAAAATACCTGCAGGTGTTATACATTAAAAGTACTGTAAGATGATGAGTAAATGGATGGACTTAAGTCTAAGCAAGAAGACTCAAGTGACCTTTTGTTCTGTTCTTATGAGATCAAAACAGCAAGGAAAAACTCACCCCATCTTCTTCTCTGTGTGGGGTTAGCCTGTTGTAAACAGCCTCAATTACACTACGTCTGGATGAGAGAAGAGAGACAGATTAGACAAAACTCTAAAAACCCTACTGAAGATAATAGTGAGAAACGTTTATATGGTCCATGGCAAAACCAGATGTTCAAAATAAATAGAATAAATACATTTTTTGCACATCATAAAGGGGGATAGTAAAAAAAAAAAAAAAAAAAAACCTTAAGCATTGCAATATTATTAGCTCTAGATTCCAATTTATTGATATTTTTAGCTGTATTCTTGCAAGAATCTATATTTTTGTTTATTTTCACATAAATATATGGATACTTTAATATATAATTTTATCTATACATTATGTAGTAGGAGTAATAAAAGTACAGCTATAATTTACCTCTTGACTCTAATTATATATAATTTTTTTCACTTTTTCACCTGTATGGTATATTCTTATATTTTTTGTTAATTTTCACAATATTTATATAATATAGTATTATATTTTATAGAATTATAACAACATTAGAAAAAAAGATATAATTTTCACCTAAATAAAATAAAATTCTGGATTATACCAATAAGCCAGTAATTATTTTTATGTTATGGACAATATTTGAGATGGTTGAAATTAAAAATCTACACAATCGTCTAAATGAATAAGAAATAAAATGGAGTGCTATGAATTTAGGCATCACAACATTACAATGTGTAAAATACAACACGCCTAACAGTGTACAATAAAAAAAATATTTTGAAATTTGGATTACATTAAAGACTGAAGTGCTAAACTGAATAAAAAAATAGGCACTACTAAATAACTACTATTAATCAACCTATGATAACAGATATTGATAAAGAAAAAAAATATTACACACCTCTGAAGACCAATGCACAATATTATTTCTATTCAAAGAACAATTTAGCAACAAATTACAGTTTTAAAGGGGTCATACGATGCGTTCTAACACGCCCCACATATCTACCTCACTATGTGGGAAGATTTGCATAACGCCGCCCAAATGTTCACGCAAAGAAAGAAGGCGTAACTTTTATTCTCACTGTAGTATTGTTGACGCTGCAGCCATGTCCTGAAGACGCTGTATGTTTCGTTGTGAAAGCGGAACTACTTTGTTTGGTCTTCCAAAAGAGGATGATATCCGCTTCGTCATGCCTAGAGCTGATCTGTGCTGGTCGCTGAGGGAATACATCAACTTTCACCGTGGACGAAGCGGAGTCCAGCCCGGGGTCGTCACATGTGGTTGCCACTTATTCGTCGGATCCTCCGGGCAGGCCGTTCTTGACCCCGCCGCCTCAGCTCACGCTAGCCCGGCCTCAGCTCACTCTATCCCGGCCTCAGCGCACCCCAAGCCGAGGCTTCCCCTCATGCTAGTCCGCGGTGTTGTTCGTTGTGAAAGCGAAAATACTTTGTTTGGTCTTCCAAAAGAGGATGATGATTCAAACGTGAGTTTTGGGCAGTGTAGAGTAGCTCTTGTTGTTTGTCATTTCTCTGATCACAAATGCAGACAGAGTTTTATGATTACGTGGCGCGATGCAATGCAACGCAACGACTAAAAAGACAGTATAAGTATTATAATCAGTAATTATGTCCCCACTGGATGCAACAAATGCCTCGTTTGTAATGGGTTTTAATGTTTTTGAATCATCGCTCCGGCCGGGACACGGCATCAACAGTATGTGAGGGGCGTAACATTTCCGTCTCGCGCTTGAGGTATTCGGCCAATCACAGCACACCTCGCTTTTTCAGACCGATGAGTTTTGTAAAAATCGACACGTTTCAAAAAGGCGGGGCATAGAGGAGAAACAATAATGTACAGTATGTGGAAAATAATGTGTTTAACTTTAAACCGCATAAACACATTTCATTACACCAAATACACAAAATGTTATTTTTAGCAGCATCATATGACCCCTTTAAATAATTTAACACTAAAAGAATCACTTATTTTTATCATGACCCAGATATTAATATAATATTACACCGCAATGTGTCTGCAGTTCACCAGTCCTAATACAATAGTATGGCAATTGCAAAATTTGCTTGATCAGCATAGATGTAATATGAAGGACCACAAGGACAAATGTAACTTAATTTTGGACCCCTACTTGCTAGCGAGACCACCACCCGGTGGCAGGTTGGGGATGCTCTCAGGGCGAAGGTTGTGCATGACATGGCTTAGATCTGGGATGCCTTCCTCCCCTGACTTCTCCAGGATTTCTGCAGAGAGAGACAACTATATTACACATGTAGGGCAACAAACTGCTAATGGAAGTGAGGCGTGTTTCCTCCACTGTGACTGCTGCTGTGAAACCTTAGAACGGTGTAGGCACAGGATCTACCAGCCCACTTATCGAAACAGTGTGAGAAAAATAATATCCAGCCAGAGAAAGAACGCCAAACAGGTTTCATCACAGCTGTCCTAACTACATGTCAAATGGAAAAAACACTAGAATTGTTTTCAGAATTAATATATTTTAACCCTCCAGGAAAGATCCTGCGAGCCTCCAGATAGTTTAGAGCATGCCAGAATGTTGAAAGAGAAGAACCAGAGGGAGAAGAGAACTGCAATCCAAACAATGCTCACTAGGGATGTAACGATTAACTGTGAGCCGGTTGAAAATCGATTCAAATATGTGAAGATTCAAATCGGTTGAGATGCTAAACAAATCGCGATTCAATTAGGGGTAGGAGTTTATATGCATGTCTGAGGGGAACTTACTGTCTTTAGAAAAGTGTAGATGGTATTTCTTCTTTTCATCTTGCCTCTGTATAATGCATATGAAAGTTCGTAAGTTCGCTGCTTTGTTTACAGCGGAAACCAGAAAACGCTTTAAGCGCCACCTGCTGGCAGAGAGTGAATCTGCGTCTCATTCAGCTCCGCTGTTTCATGCAGATATTTTTATTTTTATTATATTAATAGAGTTTCACAAAACTGAAGTCAAACCATTCCGTTTTTGCTTCAAATTTCGAAACTATACAATCTAATTTAGTTTAAAAACTGCTCATGTTGCAGGTATGCAGCATCTTTGTTTGGATCAAGATTAAAATGCAGTGGTTGGCTCTAATTTGAAAAGGAAAGAGCACAGACAAAGCCTTATTTTGTTTATTATGAAGATATTTATTTTATTTGTTTTATTTATTTGATTTGGGGCTTGTTTTAAAATTTCAATTTAGTTTTGTTATTTACATTTACATTATATTTAAATTTTGTAATTTAGCAGACACTTTTATCCAAAGCGATTTACAAATGAGGACAATAGAAGCAATCAAAACCAACAAAACAGCAGTAATATGCGAGTGCTATATTAGTATATTATTATAGTATTATATTTCAATTTCACAAAGAAATGTGCAGCATTTTGTCCAAGCAATAATAAAAGGACACATTTAATTTATAATTTGTCTTAAATCTCATTTTGCTAAAAAGAATTATAATAATCGTGAATCGAATCGTGAAATCAAAATCGTGAATTGAATCGAATCGTTACATCCCTAATGCTCACACAGAGCAATTTTAAACCCCATGACTGACACTTGAGGTCTGGTATTAGGACTTTTTGAATTACAAGATGGCCATTTCCACCACACTGGATGTACAATGAAGAAAACTGGCTGACAAATGAACAAGTGTTGCCTCTTACCTTCCACACGAGCCTCCAGGAACTTGTCCAACTCGGCCTCTCTCTTAACAGCCTCCTCTGATACCTTCGGTGCATTGGGGAAACATACTAGAACAACACTCATGTTGTCACGGCTTCCCTAGTTAATAAAAAGGGAGATTGTGTGTTAAAAAAAGGCAGTTCACTAGACAAAAATCCAACCTGTCAAGCAAGTGTTTATAACACCACACGCTTCTATTGTAAACCAATATAAATCTAGACCACCTCCGAATTTGCCAATATTTACCTGGGATGGAAATTTGTGACATCTATTCATAGTTAGACACTAAGCAGACCTAGAAAAAAATCTTCCAAGTGGAAGGGGGGAAAAAGCTTAGTTTCCGATGTATATATGAGCCATACATCACGAAAAAGCATGAAGAAGGTTACAGACTAATAACGGAAAGCCCTGACATCAACTTGAGCAAATCCATGCCCGATACAAGAGCTGTGACATCACTCACAAGGTCCCAGGCTCTGTCTGAGCATCTGGAGAGCTGGTGTCTACACAGGCAAAAGGCTTGTGTTTTTTGGAGGGTATTGGAGGGTTTGGATTGTTGAATGCCATGAGACCATCAGTAGCTATGTTTCCATCCACCTATTTTTATGTGCATTTTGGAGTATCGCATAAAAAAACCACTGGATGGAAACGCAAAGATGCTGAGTAGGATAAACTTTTTATCCGATAAGAAAAAAATGTGCATAAACTACGATGGAAACACACTTACCGAATAAATTCCTCCATGCACATCGAAAAAGTCATGTGACTTTGTGCTATGAGACAGGATAAATTGACTAACCAGCGGACCGATCTCGTTCACAGAATCTATATGTTGTTTTGGTCGTTCTGAAATGCCTGAGGAAAGTCTGTCAAAGAATTTCCGTCAACCCTCTACGGACACAATGAAGCTTGAGTCGCCATTGGCTAGTTCATTTTTTATTTTACTCGCCATACTTTTTACATGAAATGCATGAACGATGCAACTGAACAAAAAAAAAAGTTAATAAATAAAACAAAACATACTTTGTCTGTCTGAATTATTTTTTATGGTTGCATATGGATTTAATCTACCATTTCTTAGCAAATGGCTTTCTCTTGCCACTTGACTTCAGCCACCTCTCCACAGCTGATGATGGATCATACTGCTGAAGCTCTGGGCCTTCTGTTGAAATGAGGATTAGGTCTGAAAGGCGTGAGGATGTGAGACTGCTGCGGACATCTGATTTTATTCTCTTTTGGGCACTGAAGGCTCTTTCACAGTAGGCAGAGCTGATTGGCAGAACAAGAAGAATCTGAACAAGATGAAGAATATTTTGCATCTCATCTCTGTAGGGTTGCTTCAGCAGCAGCGTCTGGTACAGGCCCAAGAAGGACTTGCCATGAAGATCATTAGACACTCACCTTTTCAAGCGTCTCCATTCCCCAGGGATTTCTTCAACTTGACATCCAGATTGAACAAGCTTCTCTCTGAACCATTCAGTGAGTACCTTCAGCTCCTTGTTGCCGTACAATAGTTCAAGTTGTTTTCTGTCATCAGGCCACTTGTCATGGTTGAATATTGCAAATGCTGACATCACAGCGTGTGCATTTTGATCTTTGTTAACTCCAAGCAGGTTATCCAATTTAGCATGAAGGCGTTTCTCACAGGCTGAACATGCATGCATGCTCCATCTGTTTTCTCAGATTGTCCATCAGGCTCTCTCTTTCCCCTCTCAAGTCAATGCCCTGAAAAGTTGTGATATGAGCACCAGGAGTTTGCTTTTCCAGACACTGTGTGATGAAAGTTTCCAGCATACCATCTGGGAGAGGGTTGGTTTTCATGTAGTCAAGACTGGTCAAACAGCTCTCAAAAGGTGAGGTCTGCCTTCTGTAGAGTCTGACTTAATATCGCTATCTCGTGCAGCACATCAGCCAGGAAATGACAAAATGCAACAAACTGCAGATCCCTCATGGTATCGAAAACCTTTTCCCCTCTACCAGCAATGTCAGCATTGTGACTGGTTTGGGCCAAATTCTCCATATGAATGGCAACAGCGGCATACTGCCCAGCTTGGCTAACAAGATAGTCTTTTCCTCTCAGGAAGACCTTCAGTGCCCTGTTTAAATGAGGCACCCAACGTGTTCCTTTTACTGGCTTTGGTTTGTAGAACCTAGATTCAAGTTCTTCACAAACTGTCTGAAGTTCTGTTGCTCTTTGGGCTGAAATGGTAGGTTTTCCAAATCAAGTGCAAGGTGTCATTTACACGACTCACTAAGCTCAGATCTTTCAAAACCCCAAGAAGTGCCAGCTCTCCAGCCTGTGAGCCATACAGTGAATGTCTATCAGTTTTGGATTGTCCACTCTCAGTTTTGCAACAACACCAGCTGTTTGGCCCATGTTCACATTTGCACCATCAGCACAAAATTCAACAAGCTTTTGCTTCCAGTCATTTGACCAAATTTTGACATTGAGGATTGAACGCAGTCAGTCACACCATCAGCATGAGCATGTGACAGCTCTGTGACAGAGACAAGATGATTTACTGGCAACCCATCATGTACATACCCGACATAGATAGCTTAATTTTAGTTCACAGAAGAATCTGTTGCACCATCAATCATGACTGATATGTACTTGGACTTTTTCACTTTATTTTTCTCTATATCCTGTAAATCTGCGGCAATATTTGAAATGAGTTCAGCGCAGTGGACATCACTATCATACGTTGGAGAAATGTCCAGGCCATATTTTTTCTGCAGCATAATTAGTGGCTTCATCTGAGTGAAACTCAATTCCTCCTTTGCGATATAATATGCTGTATTCATTTTTACAGAAAGCTCATGTTTCTCTGCGCTGTAATTTTTTTAATTTTGAGTTTGAAACCCTTTTGCGATCGCAGATTCCTCTGGGTCTTCGCTTGAAGCCATCACACTATCACGACAAGATGCATGTCGTTTGCGGTTTGAGTGCGCTGTGAGATTTTCACATTTGAAACTGCGCAATCCTGATACAAAGTCTGTTTTACTGGCTAAGCTAGGTTTTCTACTGCAGTACTTGCATATCATCACATGTTCCTCCTCCTCATACAGAAGCCAATCAAAATCTGACAGTCTGGAACTTTCGCTTTTCCAATGCACTTTTTGATTCAGAATGCACAATCTTTTCTGCCACATTTGACGTGCTTGGCTGGGGTTCGCCGGCGCATTCACCGTCTTCTGTCTGCACAGAACTGGACTCTTTAATTTTCTTTGCGCTTGAAAACAAAAAATTATCAAGCGTTTTCTGCTCAGACTGGAATTTTCGCTTTTTTGCATCCATTTACATCCACAGTACAGTAAAGAAAGAACACCATTTAAATCTAATGTGTAAATTCTCTTTATGCAGCATCTCTTTCTCTCACGTTGAGTATGCGTGTGATAGAAAGCGACAGAGGGCGCTGTCAGCTAAGTGACGGTGTAATGCGGACTGAGCAGGTATTGAAATTATAGGCCCTTTCGCACCGCTTTAGTTCCAGAACTAAATGTACGGTACTAAAATACTGGGACGATTTTGCGCAAACTATTTCCCAGTACCATTTAAAGGGTTGCATTCGCACCGAGAGTGTGTACTAAGAAGTGACGTAAGCCGGTCGACAGCGGCGTCATTTGTGCGCGGTGTTCAACAACAGAAACAAAGAACTACGTTAACAACAGGAGGATGGAGGACGCTGTGATCGGAGCTGTGTTTTTGTTGTGTCTCGCAGGTTTCACAATGATGGACATGGAATGTCGACGTATACGTAAAGCGATTGAAAGAACGGGAAGGAGGACTAAGAATCTCCAACGACAACTGGCAGTGCTACATCTGCTACAAGTGCCTGCACTTCAGCGTTCGTCCATCTATCGCTGTTCTCCATACTTGCGAAATAAGTTGACAATGTTTAAACGGCGTTTTAAATCATGGCGGGTGAGGGGGTTTTCGTGCGCGTTTGGCCAATCAATGTCTACTTACGTCACGATTAGTACCAGTTGTGCTGGTTAGACCCTGCTCCGGAGTAGGAGCTAATTTGGTTCTCGAAAAAGGCAGTTCGGTACTAAAATCGCTCCCAGTTCCGGCGGTGCGAACATGCCGAAAAGTGGGTAGTTCCACAATTAGTTCTGGTACTATGAAAAGGTTCCTGCGGTGCGAAAGGCCCTATTATCTGCGCTTAATTTATTCTTTGCATCTAACTCAATCACCGGTGAGTAAAATCTGAAAATTTACTAGCCATTGGCTAATTAAAGAAATTTTTTTAGTCGCCTAGTGGGAAATTGACTCGCATATGCGAGCGATTTATTCGCATTGTAGAGGGTTGTCTGTGTAATTACGGTCTTACATGACTGCGTTCCCAAACAGCAGGCATCCACCTCTAAAAGCAATGACCGCATTTATTGTGTTACGTCTGCTCTCTCTGAAGTGCAAGTAATTTATTTAGGGGTGCTCCGATTGATCGGCTACGATCATTATCGGCCGATAATCGCTTTGAGATAATTGATCAGCGGTCTCTAAAAAGGCAGATCTAAAAAAAAACGATCTCAAGCTGATGATGCTGCCGTGAGAAGGTTTGGCACGACACGCAGCGGCACCATCTCAGTCTCTGTCCAGAGCGGGTGAAATAATTATAATGCTGAAGGTGAGGTACTCCTTCATATTTCTTAATTAAATAACTTATAAAGTAATTTGAAAACCTTGTGAGACAATTTCACAAACAGCGCGAGTGAATCACCACGCGCTCGCTCTCTCTCGCTCTCTCTCGTTTCCGCACCGAGTCTATTTTTGCTGAGCTGCAAGCACTGAATTAAAGTAACAGCACATTTTTTTGCAGTAAATATGAACATGGATTGACACAAAAATGTAGTAATTACACCATAAATAAATGTTTTGCCACTTGCTTGAGCAACTTAATATATAAATCTAGAAGTAAATGCAAAAGTAAAAATCATTGAATAATGTGTTGCATATATTTATTGTGCTTAAACATGTCTGTGAAAGATTGTATTACTGTACTGTGTAAAAAAAGAATAGCAATGTTGAAAAAGCATTTTCAGTGACAATGTTTGGATTTGAAATTATGGATAAATGTTGTGTTTGTGGTAAACAGCCACGGATCAGTAGTGGACTCCTGTGTGAAAGCACAGTCCGTGCTGCTTCCCCTCTCACAAGAGTCACCTAAGTCACCTTTCAAAAATGAAATTCAGGCCCTGAATAAATGTTTAAAAATCCTGATTGGAGTATCACTATAAATAGTTATAAATGATAAAAAGAAGGCTTTAAAAAGATCGGTATCGGTGATCGGTATTACAGCTGTCAAATATTTTTTTTAATTTCGAATATTCGTCGAATTTAAAATAAAAATCCACATTCGAATGCAAAAACATTGCATTCGAATTTTAGGTGTGCGTTAAGGAGGCAGTCTTATCAGCGGCGCACGATGCGATGACGATGTAAGTGTCATTGCATTATAATGTTTTTGTTAGCCTATCCAGTTGAAGCCACTAGATGCGGCGCTGCTGCGTTGTTCATTAAATATATTGTGGAAAAAGAGAACATCAATGCGGAGAAGATCTTGTTTACATCAAAACCGAAACCAAGCCGTTCACACAGAACGCATATTTCACGCATTTTCTAGAGGGACATCTATTACTGTTGCACTCATCTCGCACAAAAGAGCAGCATTTTTAGAAAGCCATTTAAATTAATGCAAGTTTAACTTGGAAAAAAACATATAGAGACTTTATGGCGGGTTTTTCCCCATCCCAATGCATCTCATGTTTTTAAATGAAAAAAGTACTCTGTGTGATTGGCTTTCCGCCCTTTGTATTAAACTACGCATACATACATGATGCTGTTTTGTTTATAGTGGTTTAAGCAACTTAATTATTATTGGTTTATAAACATTATGTACTTTTGTTCGCAGATATTCATGTTACCTTATGCTTTAAATGATGCGCCCTCTTGTGGCCTCAGGAGAGAAGCCAAAAGCTTTTCTTCACCCTAATTGAAATTATGCATTTTAAATTAGAATATAATTCGAATTTTTATCATATTTAAGTACAAAATTTAGTTTTTCAGCCATTTTGACAGCCCTAATCGGTATCGGCAGATACTGCTTTCTGTAATCGGCCTCAAAAATCCTGATCGGAGCACCCCTAAATTTATTACATATGAAAATTATTATATTCAGTGGCTTCTCCTAGTTTTCTTAGAGATATTTAGAGCCAGTTTATCAGGAAGTAATGATTTGGTTCTCTTTGACTCATTGGATGGAAAAAGTGCTTTATTCGCAAATGTTTTAAGCGATATTCCAGTTTAGCGCATATGTTAAATTCGCATCTTTGCATGGAAACATAGCTAGTGAAACACTTAAATGCAGCGGGGAAAAGGGAGTGGGGATTGTTTTTATAGAATCACGAGTTACACACAGCAGGTCTGTCTAATGAGACTAGAAGGACTGTAATGATTACGTAAAGACTCAATGATTCAGCTTCATAAGGCCATGCAACTTATGTAAAACAGAATAAATACACTTAAAAGATACCCACTGGGACAAAAACCAAAATTTAAAAGCAAAGTTGTCATTATTTACTCAGTTTTAATGCACACAGCAAACACAGCACAAGCCGTCAAGTCTAATTTAAATGCATACGACTAGGGCTGAAACGATTCCTCAAATACCTCGAGTAACTCGAATACAAAAAATCATCGAAGCAAATTATTTTTTTATTTTGTATTTTCATTTACTGTAACTACACATGGAACACGTGTTTCCCCACGGACCATTATTGCTGACGTACAACCAAATAAACACTGGACCAGACCATATACTGTATAAAAACAGGGACCAGAATTAAAAAAAAAAAAAAAGCGCTGGAGATATTTAAGACCGTAAATCAATATGGTGGCTAGCTATGTTTTGTGAAAGACTAAACGCCATTGTGCATAAAAATACCATAGAAAGAAAGTTAGTCAATATCACACGAAGAGTGCCAGTTTTCACCTCCAAAATCAGCATGATTACAAATGTGATTTTATTCAACAGTTCAATAAACAAGAAGGTAATATTATGAGACTTATGTTTTAGACACTATATTGCCTGTTTTTGCGTTATTTTGCCAACAAAAAATTCCAAACACAGCCACAGCGCTGTTTTGCGTCTCTTAGCAACATGACAGCAATTCGTTCCTGAATGAATCAACCGTTTAAATGATTCAGTTCAATCGCAATGAATCACTTCTTAACAGTGACTTGCTGCCACCTGCTGGCGGTTTTTTAGTTTAAAAAAAATTAAATATCAGTATTCAATGTTTTATGTTTAAAATAACAAAATATTAATTATGCATTTGTAACCGCAGGTTAAATGCATTCATGTCCCTCTGTGTGGGAAATTCATCCCAATGTAGCTGCGGTTTCCTCTACATTGCAAAGATGAATTTTGATACTGATATAATTTGTTTGGTAACAGCCCAAATGTCTTTTATTCTAATTGACTGATTAAATGTAAGAATTTGACTCAAAAGATGATGCACACTTTTAGAAAAAAAAAGGCTTTATAAAAGGTAAAAATGCCCATAAAATGTAAAAATTAAATTAAACTTATTGGAACAGATTAATTTCTATCACTGCTGTGAACTGGCCAGCACACAGAATATGAAGAATATCAAACACACACACACACACACCAGTACGTATAGGGACATTAAAGAGGGTTTTTCTCTCCAAATAACTCCAATTTCATGTTGCAGAAAAAATGTTTAAAAATTGTGTATGGAGTCTTGTTCTTGTTCAAAGTTACCTTCCTATCCACTGATTTTTGCCTCTCACAAAAGCCACAAAGCCTTCCAAGAAGGCAGTAAAGGCTTATGTCATGCTTGAGCTTTAGTTAGGCTGAAACTTGAAAGTTAATTTGCACAACATAAATGCAATGTTTAGGTATTATTATTATTTTCATTACTATTATTTTGATTTATGCCTTAGTTTTAGTTTGTACTGTGTACCTTTTTTAAAGTAATGTGAAACTGATTTTTGTATTTTTATTTATTTTATTTTTTTATTGATATATTTGTATTTTGAATGCAATTTGGCAATTAAATACATTAAATGGGTTTAGTTTTCACGGTTATTAATGTATGCAATTTCAGCAATAAAAAAATTTTTTCTAAAAAGAAAACAAATTAGTTGTTTATTTTAAGAGATTCATCTTATTATCTCTTGTATATTCAGTATTGCTCTTTAATAAAAGACAAATTACTTCTTATCCGATTACTCGATGAAATAATCTGCAGAATACTCGATTACTAAAATAATCGATAGCTACAGCCCTGGCGAATAGTTTCATTTTAATGAGTCAGTGGTTCTAAAATGCACTATTTTGAAAAATATTATGAAATTGTGACGTTTTGTTACCGTAGTATGGCTGGGTTTTGACAAATTTCACGATTCTATTTGATTCTGATTCACAAGTGTCCGATTCGATGTTGATTACTTTGTATATAGGCTACATCAAGTACAGTACATGCCAAATTTAAGGAAAAAAAAAAATCTCAACTAATGCTGTAAAATATACGCGAGTCAGTTGGTACTACATTACTATAATACTGAAGGTTAAAATGTAATTATTTGTATACAACTCAATTATGTTTTTATAATAACAGTTACATTTACATAATTATATTTCTACTCCAATCCATTTTTGGAAATTTAAACATTTAAATGGTGGTGGTCATAAAAACTTGACAGATTTATTTAAAGAAATGAAACACTGAAGAACAGTAATAAAAATTATAATGAATATGTTATATGGTGCATATATTTAGCAAAATGCTCCTCTCTAGAGTTCACGCTTCTTTTAAACTGAGGCGCCACAGCGATCTGTCACTCCAAATTAAACAGCACCAAAATGGCATTTATTGTTCGAATACTGTAATAAAATGGACAGAATCTGAAATGTGACACTGTTTCATGTCAAAAGTAACAATGCACAAAGCTTTTTGCGATTTCTTGGATGGGAGGTGCGCTTCAATGTTCCGTTCGTTAAATGAAAAAAGGCTAGAATGAGCATCGATTAAAATTGAGAAATCAATATTTTTTTTTACCCAGCCCTATACCGTAGGTTGAATCAAAATGTATTTTGTAGTTCTAAAAATATTCTTCAAGAACAGTCATATTTTATCGCACAAATACAATCAAGATCACTAGAGTCACAGAAGCACTTCTTCAACAAGCGATTTTGAAGTAATTTGGCTCCTAAATGTTTAAGGTAACTAAAAGTTAATGAGGGTGAGTAAATGATGACATTATGTAAATTTTTTGGATGAACTATGCTTTTGAGACTTCTGCTGTGATCTCCTCACCTTATGTAAACAGGTGTCCACCACAGAGTTGCAGATTTTCTCCAAGTCATCCCACACCTCTAGCCGAGAGCGCACAAAATCACACAGCTCCTCGTTGCTCATCACATCCCAGATGCCATCGCAGGCGAGCACCACAAACTCATCCTCTTCTGAAACACGTGGGATTTCAAACACCTCCGGTTCCGGAGATACCAGCTGCTCAGTGGGGCCCTTCCCATCCACACACTTGTAGTCATAGTCCCCCAGGGCACGTGACACTGCAAGTGAACCATTCACCCTTTGGATCATCACAGAACCTCCTGCGTTTTGAATGCGCTCTTTTTCACGAGGATTGCATGGCTTGTGGTCTTGTGTGGAGAACCGTACCTGTCCGACGCGGCTGAGTACGGCACGGGAGTCTCCGCAGTTGATGAAATAGAGGTGCTCAGGGGACACAAGCACGCCAACTGCCGTGGAGCCACTACGGTCCATGCCGTTACGTAGGTCCGAGAAGTTGCGCATGTACTCGTCGATCTTCAGGAAGCCAGAACGAATGCCACTTTTAACGCCCTCCACAGAGTCGGGCCCTGAACGGAAGTCCTCACTGCTGGTTATGATGTGCTCCAGCAGGTGTTTGGAGCAATAGTTGGCTACGCGGGAGCCAGCGTGACCATCGTACACTGCGAAGAATGACCAGTCGTCCAGGCCATGCGGTAGACCCAAAACGGCCGTGTGCGCATCCTCCATCTCAACCCTCCAGCCCTGCATGCTGCTCAGGCCAAAGCGTAGACTGTTGCCTGCTCCGTGAGCATTATGTTTCTCTGTCTTCGGTTTGTCCAAGAAGGCCCCCATGGCTTAGGACACCGTCTGCAAGAGAAAGAGGGATGCAAATGTTGCTTTACATGAGAAAAAGAAATACAAGAAACTTATGTACATATTACAGCAATAACAAAGTGCTGCTTGAGAAGTTAAAGGGATGCTTCACCCTAAAATGAAAGTTCTGTCATCATATACTCACACTCATGTCATTCCAAAACCGTAAGGCTTTGGTTCATCTTCAAAACACACATTAAAATGAAACCTGAGAGGTTTCTGTCCCTCCATTGAAAGTCTGGGTGTCCGAAACTTAAAAGATCCAAAAAAGTCAAAGGGGCGGCATAAAATGAAACCATAAGAATAGAGCGGTCTCATCCAAGATCATATCTCTTATGACATCTTTATAACCTTTTTGGATCTTTTAAGATTTGGCTACCTGGTCTGGAACAACGAAAAGGTAAGTAAATTACATTTTTTATTTTTAGGTGAACTAACCCTTTAAATAAAAGCACGTTGTTATAACTAAATGTGTAACAGGCCATTTAAATCAACAATCACTGGTTGGCCTTTCAGGACATTATCCAAACAAACACTTCAGCACACCAGCAAAGCCATAGCACTGACAACAATGTTCTTTAGCATTTACACAAAGTCATCAATCCTCTTTTGTTCATAAAAACAGTGCGTGTACAAATGTACGAGATGAGAATGAAGGCTGTGGAAGTCACAAACGTCTGCCGAGTTACTGACAGATCTTGATGTGATCTAAAGGCTACTGTAACAGCAGATACGAAGATAATAACAGACAAATGGTCAAAAGCAACTCGATATTTCAGACAAGCCTCTGTAATTATGTTCATTAAGACTAATTAAATACAGTGAACACAACAAGAGCATTAGAAGACTACTACATCAGTCATAAATTAGTGAGTAGGCAGCGATTAAAAAACAGGGTACATTGGAAAACATTCAGGATGATGCTAAATGAGAAATTCTTTGTAGAAGTGGAATGTACTAATTTACTTCACTGGTTAACTTAACGTATAACATCACAACCCACAATGCAAGGCGCTAAAGTAGTAGTATTTACCATAAAATGCATAATTTGTGGATGTGCAGCAGGTGTGTCCACAAAAGCAGAATAGTAAAGGATGCTTTGAACCTGATGGGGACAACTTTGAAATCAACTGGTAAACAATTGTACAGATATTTCTAACCAACGCTCATGCCTCATGAAGTTTCTACTTCATCCGTACAGTCTAAACTTAAAGATAAAAGTGTTTACCAAAGACAACTTTGTCTACGCAAAGCTAAGTGATGACACTTATTATATAATATGTGGTTAATAAAAAAAAATAATCAAAGCATATGAATTTACTGTTTGTCTTATTAATACTTTGTTACCCAATATACACAATCACTCCCATTCTTTTTTTAAAGTATCTTATGTTCACCAAAAATTAAATAAATTAAAAGAAAATGTTTTTTATTTAATATTTTACTGAATTTATTACTTGGACATCAAAGCTGAATTTTCAGAAGCCATTACTCCAGTCTTAAAGTGATAGTGATTACTCACCCCCATGTCGTTCCAAACCTGTAAGACCTTCGTTCATCTTCGGAACACAAATTAAGATATTTATGATGCATTCCGAGAGCTCTCTGATCCTCCCATAGACAGCAAGGATCCTTACATGATCAATGCTCAGAAAGGTAGCAAAGAGATCCTTAAAATAATCCAAAATTTGTGTTCCGAAGATGAACAAAGGTTTTACAGGTTTGGAACGACATGAGGGTGAGCAATGACAGAATTTTCCTTTTTGGGTGAACTATCCCTTTAAGTGTTACTGTTACATGATCCTTCAAAAATCATTGTAATATGCTAATTTGGTGCTCAAGAACAATTTGTGTCAATGTTGAAAATAGTTATGCTTCTTAATATTTTTGTGAACACAGATACATCAGGTTTCCTAGACGAACAAAGTTCAAACGAAGCAACGAGTTGTGAGCATGACTAGGATTTCAGCGAAGGGGTGGCTCAGAAATACAGCAGAAATGAAAGTTTCCTATCAAATTATCTCCAACATTACAGGAGGAGCAATACCTAAAAGAAAGAGTAAGAATGTCAAAAAAAGGCTTCTTGACAAATAGGCTACGCAGACCGATGGGGTGTGTCTGGACGGTAACTCAAGCTCCTGCATCAACTTTCATCTCGAGTATCATCTCTTCCATGAACCACGCTTGAAAAGAAAAACACAAACTGGTTTTGGCTATCTTTACCTCATCTTCAGGACAAGCACACACACAGACATTAAACACAAGAGTTTACCTCCGAACCACCGAATGCACACAAAATGCGCTTTAAAAAGAGCTTAGCAAAACTTCCAAGGCCAGAGGGAAAATGTATTATTGATCACTACTAAGACAGAAGGCAAAATGTATTTTTCATGAGTCTGTTTCCCCATCTAAATGCAGGATTAGAAAGTGTGTAGCAGCTTTAAGCTGCTTTGGGCAAACCTCAACCGTAAGACCATTACATGACTCCAGGAATAGCCACTGAAATGTATTACAAGCCCAAATAAGCCATTAGACAAATGAAAAGCGAGCCGCTTCATAAGCTATGTGATCACCGCCTAGGACCTTGACCTAGCGAAGTCCAAAAAAAGCCAGTAGGCAAATAACCAACAGTAAGTCAAGGTTTGCCTACCGATATTACAAGCAGGGTCATGGGATAGGTCAAATTACAGTTTCTTTCATTCTCTTAACGCATTCCTCTTCGCATGTCTGCTTATGCATTGCGAGAATGAGAACAGGCAGCGGACAGCATGACCGAGATCCAGTGAAAGTTCCAGCATTCAGAGGATCATGGGCTTGTCCAAACCAGAGCATGTGGCCCATCAGGGACTAAACTAGAGTTACCCAGAAGGGTGGTGCTCACAGCCAGCTTTTTTTGCTCACTACTCCACACACGACAGGCATGGAAGGCATGTGACCAAAAAAGGTGGTCGGGAGCTGGAGAGAGTGTTAGTGTGTGTGTGGTTGGATGAGGGCAAAGGTTGTTGTGCAGTGTCATGGCTGTCGGCTTGGCCAGTCCTCACCCTCTGAGCACAGCTCTATTTATATCCCTTCAAGCTCAGATTGGGTTACTTGCTTCTGAATGTTGGCAGGGGCTAAGTGCTGCATCCTTATGGCTGTCATTCATGCAGGGCTTCTTCCCAACATTCACGTTCAGACGTCCTTGTCAGATCCTCTTCTTTCCGAGGCCGGGATGATCTCTGTCAGGAGTAAATGGGCTGATCCATCATGCAGCGTTGGCTTTGATCAAACCCTGCCATTAGCATGGTAGAAACGCTCGAGAGGAAGCTTTGTTAATGCTTGAGCATCAAAACAAGCGCACAAGACCAGGTGCAGTAAACACACGAACGTTTCAGATCAAACACTAATAAACAAGCACAACAGCAGGAAATGAGGGGGGCTTGGAAAGGTGGCTTAATGTGGACCTGAAGAAGGGAGGATTGATACCGGACAGCAGAGTTTAGCTTTATCCCCTCACCACAAAGAGGCAAGATTAAACATGTATATCTGGTACATCTTAAATAAATAAATTATTTTCAATTGAAATGTAGTTCACTGTAAAATATTATGTATAGAGACTAATCATGCATTAATCCTGCCTGGAAGTGCTATGGATTAATCCCACTTTATATTTAGGATTTATTCATATCCGTTTCCCAATATAGGCCACTTTGAAATAGGATGTATATTCATTGAGGGTGACCCTTCATAGGAACACATTAAATACACATCTTTTTACTGGTGTCGCAAAAATGCCTTCAAATTTTTTTTCAGAATCGTTAACCTGTACACATGTGGCTTGAGCAAGTCTTGAGCAAGACTTTAAAACTTTACACAAAATCAATGACACAGACATGTCCAGATTATAGAAGCCCCGAGGCTGAATAAAGCTGAATAAAACAGCACATGTACATTTTATTCATGAGTTCAATCTACATCACCACAATAAAGGGGTCATGAACTGCCTTTTGCACTGTTCTCTAAAGTCCACTTATAATGTTAAAGATTTTTACATGAAAAACAATTTAGAAGTAAAAGGCTATTTTCTGTTCTGTTTTTAACCCCCCTCATCAGAACGCTCTGTTTGAATAGGGGTGGTGGATTGCAGACTCGGAAGTAAATGCCCACTGCTATGATTGGCTAACAGTTATGTATGTTTGTCTACATCCTTCATAGATGGATTCTGCTGTGATTTAGGTATAAAACGTATAAATACTCAGTACATATCAAACGATCTGTAATAACAGACAAAGCAATAATAAAATAATAAAAACAGGCTACTTGTGTGGTGCGACATGGTATCCAATACAGTTGACATAGCATCATCTTTTACTATAAATCTTTCTTAAAATTGTGCCTTGTTTGTAAACAAATCCACAGTAAAATGAAGTGAACAAAGGACCAAGCTTTTACTGACATAGTCTGGCACTTCATTAAAAATAAATGTAATGTTCATCAAATGAAGTTTATCGTTTGGTTTCTGTGTAGACCTGCACATGTCTTTCTCGTCATTTACCTACTACACATGCAAATCGGTGGGAGGGGCTAAACAGGCATTGATGTATAAGCGGGTGTTGATCATCTTCTGCGGAGGCGATGTTTAGACACACTATTACATAATAAAGTGGCACATTCCAAAACCTGTCTTTTAGGCAGACAATGAAGACAACATGGCTTCAATATAAGCTGTTTTTAGACTAACAAGAAAGTTTTGAGTTCTGAAACTCAGAATGTTTTATAGCACAATGACCTCTTATATATCAAGAGCACAGAAGTCCAATACATGAAAACAAATGGCTCCTATGAACTGAATCTTTTAATGAATGTTTCAAAAGAAAATGATTTGAATCAGTCTGGTGAATCCACAAAATGAACTCACCAAATCATTCAGAGTGGCTACTGAATCAACACACTAGTCTGCAAAATATCACTTCTAGTGATGTCTACTTTAAAATAAAGTTGTGTACACTTTTAGA